CTGCATTTATCTTAAAATGGCCAAAACTGCCTTCTCCTACAGATTAAAACTAGATACATTTTGTCATGTCTCTAAAATTCAAAATATCCCCTTAAAATCATTGAACAAGTTTTAACCCTTCCAGGATAGGGACAACTACTTTTTTTCACTTGAGTTTAAAAAAAAAAAAAAAAAAATCCAGGAATCCTGACCCGAATCTTAGAAGTGTAAAACTATCAAGATTCAAAACTGGTTCTTTTTCATGTTAAGTTTTTCTCTGCAGCTCTAAGAGAAACATTTCCAACAATCTTCCTTTGTGCACTTTAATCTACCTAAATTTCCAGCTGGGAAAAGCCACAAGGCTTATATTCCGTGTATGTCACAAAGCTCCTTGAATTGTGGAAGCTTTTCAATCAGTCCTAAACCTGAAATATTTAAAGATGGCTTTGATAAATGATGCTTTACCCTCAAAATTGGAATCTACCTTTAATCCTAGTGTTCAGTTGACAGTTAAGTATGAAAAGCAGAATTATAAACACACTTCCTATGTGGGTACCGAGTATCTTTCTTCACGATCACTTTTGATGAGGGCTGGGATTGTATAGTTTTTACAGAGGAAATGTTAAATTGAGATTTGATATGGGGAGGATGGAGGCATAGATCTGGTGAGAGACAATCTAACTTCTGACAACTTGATTTTTTTTGGGGAGGGAGGTCTCAAGCATATTTTCCCAGTATGACTTCTGTAGCACAGGAAGTTCAAATGCCAGCATCAAGAAGCTTTTAAAGTTATTTTAGCCCATGATGATCTGCTCAAGATTCACAGATGAGGTTGACTTTTTGGTTTAGGTCATGAAGTTTGAGCTTAGCAAGTCCTGATAAATTAACATCATTCTATAAATGTTTTCATTCTGGTACAAGAGGTACTTTTAGCCTACTTGACACTATGTAGTTAATACATACTTTTATTTATTTATTTACTTTAAGTTCTAAGCAGAAGCCCACTCATTACTCCAGGGATGAGGAATGCAGTACTTCTCACTCTACATGACAGTAACTAGAATAAATAATTGATTGAGGCTTATTACACTGACAGAACGGGTGACTGCTTTTATTCTTTATAACACTGCTTATTCTTATCTGGCCTAGTGTCTTCTAACTGGCCATGCTGTTCTTCCAGCGATACTAGCGTATATGTCATATCTGCCTGTTTCTCTCTCAGTAGCCTTGGGACTCTCTTCTGCACTGTTCCCCATCTAAGGAGCACCCTTTTTCTGATCTGGTTTGTAAAGCCACTACTATCCTTTTTAAATATCTCTTGACGTTCCACTTCATTATGCCTACAAGAAACGTGTCAATTAAGCCTTCTACTTAATTCTATATAATTTTTAAAATTTCACTTTAAAAAAAAAAAAGCTGTTCCCTCATGCATGCACTAGATTTTGCTAATTAACTGTATAATCTTAATGAGGCTCCTCCTTTTTGTTCCCCAGTCTTATGTCATATCTGAAATTGGTCTAGCTTCTCGGTGCAAGGATCCTGTCTTACCAGTATTGGGAAGCTTCAGCACATAAATGGGGTGCTGTTAAAATAAAACAAACAATTGTAGTAACATGGAGGAATTGAAATGGTTATATTTTTAAGCATGGGAGATTTGGATTGAATTGGGAGTTTTCACAGACTTCCTTTGTGAACTTTGGTAAAATAACTTTAGTGTATTTGTTCCCTTTGGGGGTACCTCTCTACTTTTACAAGGGGCCTTCTGAGGATAAACTATAAATGGCTGGGAGGTGTTTCTGATACCAGCACAGAGAGGGGGCATATAAGAACCCATGCCATTAAATTAAGAATGCACTTGTATTATGTAGTCGAGGAAGCTCTAGGATTTTAATGAAAATTCAAATAAGTTAATGTCAATTTGAGATGATTCTCCAGGTGAGAGGAATAAAATGGGTGCCCTAAAAATACTGAGCAAGAAATTAGTTAAGATGATGCTGAGGAAATACTTTGCATTTATATACTGCCTTCCATCTAAGAGTTCACTGTAGCTTCAGAATGCTCCTGGAAGTTTAGATAAGTATTCTACAGCTGGAAAACCGAATTGGAGATTAAGTGATTTAATCAGTTTCCAGTAGAAATCTGTGGCAGGTCTCATGACTCCATCTTGTGCTTTGAACCAAATTAACCACGTTCCAGAGTGTAGGAACTAATCCAGGAAATATTTTGAGATGTAATTATTCAGTTTTTTCTTAGCATTTATCATTCTGCTCTTAAGTTTGTAAATGAGAGGAAGGAACTTTTTCCAGCTTACATGTGATACTTGGTTGTTTCTTGGAATTAGCTACTTAGTGGCCTCAGGCCACTGCTACTTGGAGATTCCTCCCCAAATTAATTTTTCTAAAACTGCAGTTTGGTGTTCGTTAGTGACTTTTACGAATATTTTCCAAGAGAGCACTGATCTCTAGGGAACCGAAAAAGAACATGGGTCACCTATGAACAGGACCCGTACTTGACGTTTCCAAAGCTGGGAACTCAGCACCATTGAACTGGCTATGTTTTTATGTAAATTCTCAAAATTACTTTTGTCATAAATCAGCTGCATTCTCAAGACCATTGTCTGAGCTTTGAAAACAAACGAAGGGGTCTGGAGATATTTGCAGATGTTAAATTCAGGATGTGCTGTTCAAGCAGGGTTTCTCGAAGTCTTTCTCTCACTCAGCTTCCAGATCTTTGGAGTGGAAGTTTATGGAAAGAATGAATAGGCCTCTTTCGTTTTGCTTTTAAAGATGAACCCAACAACATCCCTCTCAATGCCTGGCATCTTCGGTACATAGAGATGTGTAACAGGTGGCTAACTGAACAAATACAGATTCTTACCAACATGAAAATATTGCAGATTCAGCTTGTACTGTTTCTATACTACCTGATTCTGGAAGTTCTGTAATATTCTTACTTTGCCAAGAGTCTAATGTAGACTGTGGAAGAGGAGTCGTGTATTTAAAAAAAAAAATCATTTACTAGATCGATTAGATCAAGTCATTCTGTAAAGTAAAAATTATTCTTGGCACTATTCAAAAAAGTTGGTAGCAGTTGCTTTGTGGCTTTAAATTTTCTCAGTTTGGGAGCTGTTTAGCTTCATTTGTTTTAATCTACACCACTCACAATTTCTACCAGATAGTGGTTTCTGGCATCATGCAAACTCCCACAAAAGATCCAAACACTCAAGAAATCATAGAAACATTTAGAATCCATTCTTAAGTACTTCATTACCTTACTGCAATAACTTGCAAACCAGAAAATCACAGAAACCTGGCTCTTTATCAGGTCTCAGATTTAAAACTAGAGTGACGTAGTGACATCTTACTCAGATCAGTTATTCTTAAGTTACAAAATGTACACTTAACATGTCAAAATAAGTAGTAAAATAGCACTTGGTAAAGTGTTTCTTTTCTGGTACGCCTGTAATGTCACTCATCTAATTTGCAGATTACTGAATTTTGAAATGAATCTTAATTATCAGGATGACTTAATGAGGTCCTGCTACACATTTGTAACTTGCATATATAAGTGGAACATGCATTTATAACTGCTCTTTTGTGTAGTTAATAGTAAACCAATACATTACTTTACCTACCCTTAATTTTTAGTATTAAACAGGCCAGCATTGCCTATGAACAAAACTCAGTGAATTGTTAGTCTTTTGAGCTTGAAATTTTATGGACATAATCTTGCAGCACCATCTGGTGTTGAGAAGTATATTCATTTATGACGAGATGCATATTCATTCATGAAGCTTCTTCCTTCCTAAATCTCCATGTAGTGTCCTACTTTGTAAGACAGCCTAAAGCTTTTATGATCTTCATACAAATCTTACGTCTTTACAAAGATGTCACTTAATCCCTCATGCCCAAGAGTGAGAGGGGACTATTGACATACCTATATGAAAACTAATATGGCATAAACTGGAGTATCTTAAATACCTGGTTTAATCATATTGCAACTAGGTCTCAAACATGGTATTAATCTGAATTATGTGGTCATGGCAAGTGGATAGGGAGAAGGGGGGTGGGGGGGAAGTCCTTTTTTCTTGGTGAAACTGATGTGCTATATTTTAACACTGCATGTTCTGCCCAAAACAAAACATGCCTAAGAAGAGATTACACCCGAAGAAAGGGAAATCAGGCAAAACTTTAGTGATCATAATATCCAGATGCCTGTATCTCTCTACTTCTTCTAAAATAGCATTTAATCTTCCCACTCTTGTTCTTTGTTTACATATAAAGAGGTTACCTTACTTGTCCTGTTACTTAAAAGGGGTTTTGGAAAGCTCAGCACCTGAAATCAGATGTAAAGTGGCATTAATCAGAGCTGGCAAAGGACAATCCAGTGATAGTTTAATATACCATTTTTTTCAATTGGAATTCTGGGAACAAGAAAATTCTGATATACATAACTTCGCCTGTGGTCATAATCCTTTATTTTAATCCTAATGCATGTTAGTACAGTTTTCCTGGAATGGAGCTGGAAGTCCATTTAGCTAAACATATATTCAATTGCAGATGCTCTGGCTTAAATAGTAAAGTTGTCCTGTTAATTAATACTACAGTAAATGTCATCTGAAAGTGACAATAATACCTCCATTCTATCTCAAATAGGTTATATTTAATACTTTTCACTTTTGTCACTTCTGTTTACAGAAGTGTTTACAATTGACAGGACATGGTAAATTTTATGCAAAAACATCTTTGTGCCAGTATAACTGAATGGCAACAAAGTTCTGAGAATACGATTTATCCAATCTTGCAGACCCAGAAGTCTTTTGAGCTATCATTCCAAGTATAGTAGAACTTGCTGCTCTTGTTCATGGCTTGTGCTCGTTCTGCTTTCATATGGCTCAATTTACTTTCCAAAAGAAATTGCATATTGGTGCTATTTGTGTCTCATCTGAAAATCAGCATGCATTAGGCTTCAGCTATCAGCGTCTCTTTAAAGTTCTATCTTTCTCTCCCTTAAATTAACAGGAGTGGAAACTTCTTCCAGAGGGAAGCCTGCCTCTGTGAAAACATCTCTAGCATCTTGGACCAGTTCTGGCAAATCACTAATTAAATCAAAAGTGCCCATTCGGAGAACTGCTAGCATCTCTTCAATCAGTACCCAGAGTGAGCAAAGTACTTGCAGTAATAATTGTAAGTATCTTTGTCAGAGTTCTCTGCTGTTAACTATTGTTCTCCAGGACCAAATCCTTCAGTCCTTAGCTGGGAAAAATTTATTTGAATGGGATTATTGCCTAGCTAAGGATTACTAGTTTTGGCCCTTAGGAATGTTGCCTTTTTACACATCTTTCATCCTAAGAGGCACATCCTGTAGTCTTCTCAGTTGAAGGGTCTTGAGACTTGGTGCCTGACTTAGCAAAAATGAACTTCTTTTAATTTAAAAAACTTTCTACACACTCTCGGTGCATTCCAAAACTTCCTGGCATTACTGAGCACGATGCTTTCCTTGAAAGGGCTTTTTGTATATGGTGTAATAAGTTCAGAAAGTTTGAGCATTGTGAATTGGATGTTTGTGGTAACACTGAGAACAGTGCAATAACAGCCCCTTTGTACCCATTTTTTGATGAACTATAATTCATATGTTATTCTGGTGTGTTCTTAAAGAAATGTACTATATAGATGAGACTTTAACATTTAATTGCTTTCTTGTTTGAATGTTCTGAAATATACAGTTTCAAATGATTAAACTAAAGTAAACATCATCGTGTACAATTTAAACATTTGGGTGTACAATTTAAATGTAAAAACAATGAATTCCTGATAAAATGATGATCAGTCTAAATTACATATTGTTTATGGCCTTAAACAGTGGATAAATGAATGAAAACTCCTGTATATCAGTTGCAGGAATGTTAGGGAATGAAAAACATGCAAAAAGCAACATAAATTAACCCATTGATGGGGAAAGTGATTCTAACATTAAAGCTATTTAAATTTAAATTCAAATATCCTCTTACTATTACATTGTCCTATTTTGTCTTTGGGGTTGGGGAAGGAAGTTCCTTTATGCTAAATTACTTTATTAAAAAAAAAATGTTTCTGAATTGATGATGATCCATAGTACACATTTCTTTATCACTGAGTTGTCCTGTTTGTTCCTGCAATTTTTCTTTTCTCCTGAAAATAAAAACCTACCATGGGCTGAAAGGAATATGTATTTTTTGTATTAAAATTTGCAACACATTTCTTCTATAATCAGATTTGGTTCTGTTGCCCTGACAGCCATGTTGACTTTTGCTGTTCAATTTTAGTACCATGACTGAAATTTCTAAGGAGGTTGTAAACGCTTTGTGCTCTCTCTCTACTAACAAAGAAAGGTTCATCGCTTCATAACAAAGAGATGTATTCCTTTCAGATTAAGCATCCAAACCGATGACTCTTTCTTAGTGTGATTTGCTAGCTGGTTTAATTTGTTTTTGTCCTCTGCCTTGAAGCTTACAATTCTTTCCACTCTAATTCACTAAGAGCAAGCATGAGGAATATGAGAGGGTGAACATGGCTGCAGTCTTTCTGGCTTTAAGCTTGCTTTGATTCTTTTTAAATGACTATACCAGGAGGACTCCGCAGTTGTACAGAAACTGATTTTTCTCCTCATATTTTCATCAATTCTACACTAGCACCACCGACTGATTCAGGAAGCCACTATGATATTACCTTATTGACTTTGCTGGTAGTGGGATCTTACAGCTTTTTTATTATTCCTTTGTTAGCCACGTTTACTGGGAAAAGAAGTAGGTTGTTAGTCTTTTTTAAATAAAAGCATGTTTGGTTTCTTGTTAGTTGGTAAAATCTATCAAATTAAATGCTTTAATTTGCTGTTTTCCCAAAGAAAATGCTTTTCTTAATTTAAATTAATAAATTTACAGAAAATGTTCAAACTAAATCTTGACTTCAATGTTTTTGTGATTGTAATCATATTTGGATTACATGTGATTAATATTTTCTGTGCAGTGCATTTTTTTGCTGACATTTGAACCATCTTGTAGAGAGAATCAGTAAATTTTTACTTTTTTTTCTAGAGGTATACAGAGTATTTATTCTTGTCCTTATGTGATAGTTAGCTTATTAGACAATGACATCAAAATAAAATCATAATTGGCAAAATCTAAAATTCATCACTATCAGATTACTGGGACATTCAAAGGTCAAGATGGGATACTTCTTCAGTAAACGTAGTGTAATGTAAAACCTAGGATAATATAGTCTTGTTTGACATTAAACTGACAAACTGTTTAGCTTGATATTTAAGATGTTTAGTTGATATTTTTCTGTAAAAATTCACAAAATATAACCTTCCTGTTGCTGCCTGATCAGTCCTTTGTTATGATTCTCCTAGAGGGTTAAGTTTCTTATGATAGTAATATGCTGCCTTTGAGTCTAATTAGCACTTCAGTTTTATGACTCTCTTCTATCTTCTAAGGAAACTCTGTGTTTGTGAAATTTTGGCATAATGTAATTGTGTATAATAAAGAAAAGTATAATTTGCATGTGAGTGAATTATTTGCACTAGTAAATGTGGTTGAGGATTGCAAAATTAGAATTGCAGCACCCTGACCTTTTTTTAGCAATTGTGTAGTGTGCACATGGTAAATTGTATTATGATGTAAATAAAGATTGAGAACACGAGTGTGTAAATCGTAAGGCTTGCAAGTATGAATTCCAAGTGCTATTTTTTCCTTGTATAGGAGTAATTGCATGCAAAGAAAATAAAGCAAGGTGTAGTATTTCAGCAGTAAGATGCTGATCTCAGCAATTCACCTTGAACCATAGAAATATAAACCAGTCTGCTTTCACCTTGGCTTGACTTGCATGATGCTGTTCAGTAACTTGGTGGGGCTATTTTACATCTTATATTACTGTATATAGAACAATTTGGGGGTGTCTCACTGGTGGAAGTTTAATATATAACAGCAAAATTATTTTTGAGTAATACTTTGATATACTATGAAATTCTCAGGAGTATAATCAGACAACTATAACTCTTTAGTCTGAATTATGGGCTCAAATGTCTAAAGGGCATATGCATTTTTTGCACATGCCTGACTTGGACTGTGTGAACAAACCAAAGCTGCAAAACTTGGACTTTGAAATGCATACAATGAGATTAGTCTTGGTGAATATCAGACAAAGCTTTGTGCCAATTTATCCATGTGGATAAGATGGAAATACAGAAGCCTATACTCAGCTATTTGTGATTATATTATAAAATGTTACTAATTAAAGCTATAGGAAATAGGACCATCAGTAACTTACCCAAGAGACTTCGTTTTTATAAAACATGTAGCTAAATGTGGTAGGCTAATTCTCTAACTCTCTCTCTATACATGATTTTTGCAATAGCTACAAGTGCCACAATCATCGTCAAGAATGGAGAATGGCCTTCAAAAGCTACCTGTCAAAATGGCATTTCTGGATCCATCTCTTTGAAGCCAGTGCCCAGACCTAGAGTGTACTCCTTAAAATCCACTCCAAAAGGTATCTGGATCTTTTTGTACATAATGAAACTAAAGTAATTCTTCACCAGCTTACATTGTTTTACATTACTGTTGCCCAAAGCAGTGGTCCAAGAAACACTTGTTGGTAGTTTTGTGGAAAACTAGCTGATTACATGATGGTGTCTTATTTCCAGCTGTTCATGTTGCATTAAGAGGGCCAAAAATATATTACTTCTGCTGTAGTTGCCAGAGGATTGCTATGCTGTTGCAAATGGGAGATAAGTGGTCCACTAGATACTGTATATAAATGTATTTGCTCCAGAATGACCTTAAGACTACTTCCATTTCCAACAGATATTGAAAAGTAGTAACTCTCAGCACCTTCATCAGACTCTAACAGAAAGTGTGATCTGATCTCATACTCAGTTATACCAAACACTTGCCACATATGACTGTAACAAAACCCATACATTCAATATTATTCTGCCTTAATGTTGCTGAGTTTGCCTTTAAAGTTTTTTTGCATTAAGCCTAAGTTTGAACTATTACTGTTTGGTATCTGTTGGAGATGGAGGTGGAAAAGGGCACTTGCCAATGGCTAAGTAAATCAAAATAGAAGGGAGTAGATGGTCTATCTTGGTGGCTATCTTCGCGCGACTTGTTACCTGGTAACCGAGCACAACATGAAAGAGCGGGGTAAGGCAAAAAAATATGTATAAAAGGAGTTCATGTCCTCAAGTGGACAAAGAGAACAAGAGTATGTCTACAAAGCAAAGAGACACCTGTGGCTGGATCGGGCTCACGGGGCTGTTTGCATTGTTGTGTAGACTTCTAGGCTCTGGGACCCTGTGGCTGGGAGGGTCCTAGAGCCTGGGCTCCAACCTGAGCCTGGAAGTCTACACAGCAATGAAACAGCCCCGCAGTGCGAGCCTGAGTCAACTGGCACAGTCTAGATGTGGGTTTTACTTTGCCTTTGTGGACATACTCCAAGTATGGCCTCAAGAGACCATAGCCAGTCAATACACTGTTCACATGAACGCTTGAGACAGGGCAGGGGTATATCCCTACTGCTCCCCAAGCTAGACAAACTCAGATTGGCAATAAGGCGTAAATGTTTAATAGTGAGAGTGATAAATCCTTGGAACAATTTACCAAGAGTCATGGTGGATTCTCCATCACTGACCATTTTTAAATGAAGATTGGATATTTTATATAAGATCTGCTCTAGGAATTATTTTGGGGAAGTTCTATGGCCTATGCTTTACAGGTCAGACTAGATAATCACAATGGTCACTTCTGGCTATGGAATCTATGAATTCCCATCCCCACTCATAAAAATGCTACTTTTAAGACTTGACCAGGATGAAGAATAAGTATGAATGTAAAATAGGGAAGGAAACCTTGACTTGCCATTTTAGAGCTTTTTTTAAAATGCTTCTCCCCAAATTAATTTTAGATGATTGTAACCTCCTGCCAGTCAGAGTTGGCAGTAACAAGGGCCAGGTTCAGTACCTAAGGGTTCCTTTTCACCAATACAACACAAAACCGTCTCGAGCCCCCACCCAGTGACCTGGAACAATTATATACCTCTCCCTTTTCCACCCCCCCCCCCCCGCACCCCCAGGCGCCTCTAAGAGGCTATACTTCTCCCCTCGCAAGCAAAGAGTCTGAGTGTAGCAAAAAACTTTTAAGAAAAGGAGGGAAATAATGCGGCATTAATTTAGGGCAACACCACAAACAGGGTTTATAAACACAAACCATGCGCAAAAGACCCACCACCAAGTAAGTTGGGCAGTGTCCTTTTTCCCTCAGGGTCTTAAGTCCAGTAACCCAGAGGTCCCTTTAACATGCACGTCCCTTCTCTGCACCCCACTCTCAGTTGCTGTCCTTAGACAGTGCAGATCCAGAGTTCAGAGGTGCATCTGCAGAGTTCACCTCCCACCCTGGGTGGTGGGGCGGGGGGGGAGAGGAGAGGAGGCACCTTACTTGCCCCCCTGCTTGGGCACTCACTCACCACCCCTCTTCGTGGGGCTCTGCTCTGGCACTCTCCACCAGCTGCCCTGCTGGCTGCATCAAGATGTCTTCAGGGCCCCCCCTCTTAACACAGCTCTGTGATTTCCTCTCTCAGTGGGGAATCCTAACTGCTGGTGCACACTGGGTAGTCTCTTGCATCAGAGACACTGTCCCAAAGCAGGTCTAATACTTAGATCTAGGTATCAATGATTTCAGCTCTGCTGCCTGTAACAAGACTCTCAATTGAGTCTAAATCAGCTCTGTTATTACACAGTGGAGAAAGAAAGGGTCAAATGATGTCTGGGGCCTTTAGGCAAGGCTCATACCATCAGGTACAAGTACCTATCCCCACCCTCTCTCAACTCATGGGCTTTGGAATCCAGGTCCCCTGCCTAGCAACTGCCGTTTAGTTGAGGATGAGTCCCTCAATTGGGAAATGCCAAGTACAGTTCTGCTTCCCTTGATTCACACAGCAAGGATAACAATGCTTTATTACTCCTGCCCCAATAACAAGGAGACTGGGGATCCCACACCAGCCAAAAGTGACCATTTGGGCAAGCAATCCCATCATGCTGAGCACCTAGGCAAGGCGGGTGTGCCCATGCAAATGAGATCAGCTCCTGAAGTCCTTTTCCACAGCTCACTGCTAGATGTCAGGGGAGAGTTCATTCGGACTCTACTTGCATGATGTTAACATTACAAGAGACTTCTTAATGCAAAATCTGTTGTCATATATTATATAACTTTACCTTGACCCCACCCTTTTCCACCCACAGAGGAGAGGGAGCTTGAGGAAAGGTAGTCCTCATCTCACCCTTCCAAGGGTGAGGGGACCATGGAGAGAATGTGCAGTCATTGAGTAGGGTACTAGTGGCTGAGATACATAGCCTGCCCTAATCAATGTTACTGCCCCACCTTCCAACAGGAGCCCAGAAACTCCTCAACCAGACATTAGCTCCTTCTACTGCCCTCGTTTCTAATTCCTCTTACCGGCTAAGGAGAAATCAGAGCTCTGCTTTTGCTTTTGCCAGAGATTGGGTACTTGTGCTATAATCTCTGCTGCTGCAAGTAGTTTATTTTAAACACCGTCTCCCGTTTCTTGTTAAACATTTCATTCTGGTTCCTCTCCACTTACGCAGTATCTATATTGGAGCTGGGAGGTGTAATTCCCAGCTCCCTTAGAGACCCACATTCTAGCTCTCTTTGAGCTAGGGTACTAAAAATAGCAGTGTGGCCAGGGCGGCTTGGGCTAGCCACGAGAATACAACCCATCAGAAATTCTAAGTATGTATTTGGGGTAACAGCCCGTGGTGCTGCAGCTACACTTTGATTTTAGTGCTCTAGCTCAAGTCGACCTAGAGCGTGAGTCTACCAGATCTAGGAATCTCACCTTTTAGCTGCAGCACAGACACATTCTTAAGTGAGTGTATGTAGGATTTCTCCATCAGTTGATAAGCTTAATAATGCTGTTCATAACCATAAAATGCAACTGACCAGGTGCAGGTTTTTCTTAAATCTTTTTGTACAATACAGCATATGAACTACTGTCATACATGGTCTGAATGGAGTAGCAGCTTCATTCACTGGCCAAAATGAAGTGGCATAATAGGAGATGGCTGAAAAGCTTTCTCCAAAATACTTACTGCTAAAATGCTTCTGTCAAGCACATTTTGGGCTAACAGGTTACTGAACTCTGACATGTCTTAAGTCAGGAGTGGTGTTGTTGCACATTATTGTATTTCAGTGAAAAGTAGGAATTTGAGATAGTTTAATGAAAACCACAACAGAAAAAATTGAATTTAAAACACTGAATAACTAACAGAAGTGATTAATGCTTTGAGAGGATGACAAGCTATAAAATAACTTGTAACTTTAAGTATGAAAGGCAGAGGCTTTGAGGTGGTGGTACTTTGCTGCTGTTTGTTGCCACTTCTATATTTAGATGTAATAAGGTAAATTTAATTTTGGAATACATCTGAAAATGTGTTTACTAACCCTCCTTATTAACTTAAAACTATTAAAAGTATCTTATTTTTTCCATTCTCAATTTTCAATAAAGAAAATTGACTTAAAGTAGTTTTTATTCATCTAAGTCATTGTTCTGCCATTTTAGAAATCTTTCTAATGGAGACTATAGTTCAGAATCAATTTCCTCTTTAACTATATGTTGATTCTTTAAAAAAAAAGTTCAGGGTTTTAAATGATCAGTAACCTTAAGTTATTTTCTTAAATTGGACAAGTTCTTATCACGGATCTAGTTTTAAATTTAAAAACCTAATCTAAGTCTTTGGTTTTTTAGGAACAAAGAACAAGTCTGGTTCACTGAACCAATGTATACCAAAATCAGCTGGACCATTTCTTCCAGCAAGGAAAACCAGTGAGCCAAGAGGCAACCAGCCATTGGGTAAAGTCTTTCTCATTTACACTTTGCAGTCTTCCCTTTCTTTAGTGAGAGCTCTGCTGTTCAATTTTGAAATGCTCAAGATTGCCAGTTCTAGCAGAGCTTCAGCTGTAGCTGAAACTTTGAAAGTGGAGATGGATTTCACAAATCTGTCCCCAATACAAAAATCCCTAATTTACTTTCTTTGTCATCAGAGTGAAATACTAACCTTTCATTTTCTGGAAAAAAGATTCAAGGGCCTGTAATGTCACTTGTTTATCTACATTTAAATTTGTATTTATAAAAACAAATGTTTTTAAGCAGGATTTGAATAATGCTTACTTGGAGTATACATACAAGATGAGGCCCAAATTTAGCCCCTTCTTGGAGTTTTTGTTTCTTAGATAACAGCTCTGCCCCCTTACCTCCCTGTCTCAGATACCCAAACCCATTTTAATGCTGAATTAGAGTTAAATTATTAGAATTAAATTAGAATTAAAAGGACATATCTAGTTGGTTGTCTACACGTTTAAAAGTATAGAAATGAATCTTCATGAAAGGTTCTAGAATCTGACACCTTGTCACAGGTATTCACTGACTACTCACAAAGTTCCTATCATGTGGCTTAGAGTTAAAATTGAACTGCATCAGACACTGCATCAGACTAATGTACAGTAGTTAAGATACAATGCAAATTGTGTTGCCTCCTACTTACTGAAGCGTATGCTTGTAAGGTCTCACATGGAGATCTCGATACTTCCTATGCACAGCCAGATGAGTTGAGCCTTTTAATTCTTTATTTTTATCTTTGCAAATTGGACCAAGTAACAGTGTTCTTGAAAACCAATAAACCTACTCTAAAATTCTTTATTTTTAAGTCTCTACCATGCAAGAGTTATCAGTAATAGTTCCACTTACTTAGTTTTTACACTAAAGGTTACTGTCAGTTATGTGGTCCTTAGGTCATACTAATAAGACAAATTAGCTTTTTCCCCCCTGTTAACTTGAAAGGTTACATTCTTTAGTGTGTAACCACTGGTTTTTCTCCTTTTTGAGAAGGATATGTAAATGTCTGCCCACAGATTAAAGCTGACAATTATTACAGGCCACTTCATTCTTAAAGGCCTTAGAAGTGGCAATACTGTGGACAGAATAAAATCAAATAGTACTATCTGGCTTACATGAAGCACAGCACTACCAGTGCTAACAAATGGGATAGTTAAAGGTCAAGCTCTTAACTAGTGATGTCAATTAAAAGTGATTGATTACGGTAAAACAGTTCATAATTAACAGGAATCTTGTCGTGTTTCATTCTCCCATATCTTACCAGCTTCTTAATGTCATAGCAAATTTTGGGATTAATATTAATATTTTACTTAATTACATATGCCACCCCACAAGGAGGGTACATGAAAGGAGGCTGGGAAGATGCTTTTTTACCCATCTACTGGAATTTATTCATAAATCTTAATACAGTTTAGAATGTTACATCCATATCTTCTCTGAACATTATAGGTACTCCTGTACTGAATGGGCCCCGAAGACTATTGTCAGGTTTCAATTCCGGTGAGTTCTCCAATCCTGTTTTCTCCCTAAATTGTTGTTAATGGATAACAAGGGGAGGTCCCCACAATTATATATCCTTATATGCCATCTTTAAGATGCTTTTGGTATAGTATCCTAGTGTTTCATTCTTAAATTAAGTAGCCTCACAAGAAGTTAGTATGATGTAACCAACCATGAAGACTCAAGTTTCAAACATACAATTTTACCTTTTTTCTCTGTGCTTTAGTTCTGTGCTATTAGACCATCCAGCTGCCAAACTGTAGAGTCTGTACTAATATTTTTCATCTATATGCTTTGTAGACAAAATGGAAGTTTTTAAAAGCAACATACAAGAAACATATGGGTAACAAATTTGGATATAGTTATTTTGCAGTTTAGTCATGTGGCAATAATTTGTTAACACAAACTAGATCTGGTTGATTCATGTTGAACAGAAGCTTGTCCTTTTTTTTTTTTTTTTTTTTT